GCTTTCGTAAGAATATATTACCGAAACACTCATTAAAAAAGTAGACATTTATATATGTAAGCAGAGATGACTCTATTGGCATAGGGCCTGAACCTCCAGTTAGTTTACTATCTTTTCAAAAACAAATGGAAACGTTTTAGATACCCTAGCAAGAATTACCTACCTATTCTTAAAAAATACAATCCGAATGGCCAAATGCTAAAAAGAGATAACAACAATGATTTCCTTCACCAATTGGGAGCTAGTTTCAGAAGAGGTTATCAGAATTACGTGGCACCTTTTACAGACTTGCCTACTGTGAACTTATGTAACTTTTGCACACTACAATTTTATGCGTACAAACATTATTTCTACACAACACGCGTCGATAAAAAAATGTCGATTTATTTAGTTCGGTTAAGCTAACGATTGTCCTCTTTGAGGCGGCGTGCAAATTGCTGTTGTCCAAAACCCATTGGTTTGACTCATCCAAACAATATCTTCAAAATATCTTAAAAAAATGTGTTCAACCGGGCTCTGCTAATCCAGACTTGGAACTTAAGATTAGGTACTAATTTAAGCTCAGAAATTATCCGGTACATAACGACCGTACAAAATTAACAAAATAAGACAAATACAATGAAAATAATACAAACTATAGGTAGGTCCAACAATAACAAAATTAATAACTTACAATTAAAATTATAAAACCTCTAAGTTAGATTATTTATTAATATTTAAACTATGCTTCAACAGACTAAAATTCTAGCTAATCCATAACTCCATGCATCGGGGCTAAGGATCCAGCGCGGCCTCAGTCTTGAGCAGGAAAAGAAAAGGCACCCGTTTTTTTTATTCAGCTAAAGTATTTTTTTGTGCTCAGGGAGGGAGTGCGTACTTTTACAGACTAAAAGCCCCCATTCCTTCTCCTGCTATGCTATGGGCCGCGGTGCCTCATACGTCTCACCCGCCCAGGGAAGGAGAAAACATAGGTGATTTTCTCCCCTTCAAAAAATAAAATAAAGCCATGCGTCGTGTAAAATTAGAAAACAAAATATTGACTATGTGACATATTTTCCTAGGTACTAATATTTTTAAACCACCCTCCTCTTCTCTCGCCTACCTATATGATTCCCATTTCCAAATACTGTTGTATTGTTTTACATTTCTAGGCGGATACAGTGGAACTCGTTCAGCACGGTCCACGAGCGTCTCAGCTGCCGATGCTAGTGTCATATTAGGTACGTTTACATAGATAATTTTGCACACGCTTACACTTAGTTATATCTGTCTGTCAGCTGACTGTGTTACGTAAATTAATCTTAATACTTGTGATAAATAAATATCTGGTTTTTTATTAAAGTTACCTACCAAATACATGCCCGAAGTTTTTGATGATAGATTATTAGTAGCCAATTAAGCAGTTCTGTTCTCCTAAAACTTAAACTGAAAATAAGTTACCTACTAGGTAGTTAGGTAATTGCGAGAAGAAGGCGACTGTCGCAATCGGTCCATTAAAAATGCAAACATTCAACACACTCTTGGGCAAGCAAAAATTATGCAACTTGAGAAAAGGTAGGGAAAACCAAAAGACCTTACAATCTCTTCCAGCTATATCAGAAGGCAGAGGCATGGCTCGTGGGGAGATCGGAATAGCTGCAATTGATTTAAGACACCCCCATCTAGTGCTCTGTCAATTCAGCGATACACTTCTCTACACTCATACTCTTACCAAAATAAACTTCTTCAATCCTATTGAGGTGAGTAACTGGTACCAATTATACTTATAGTTTTATAAGTCACTTTGTTCTAAATTTGGGTGTGAATTTGTATGCTTGTTAAATGATTCACGGCGCAGGAGCACCTAGCTTGGGGTAAAAACTGTAAAATATAAAATAACAGATTTATGGACTGCAGATCTGAAGAGAAAAGCTTTCATTATGACTTGACGTTATATAACAACTTAAATCTTCCGATGACAACGCATAAATTAGTTGTAGAGTTAAAGATAAACATTTGCACACGTCTTTGTACAGATTACAATAACGTCAATGGCTCAGTGGATATTAAGTTTTGTTAGTGGTGCTTACTATACATGTTTTAAACAATCGAAGTTAAAACTCTATGCTTACTTCATTACATAATTTTTACTTATTTGTTACGACTAAAATATTTATTTGAAGTCAGTGGATTTTAGAAACTTAATTAAGAATATTTTCAAAAACAGTTAAGTACTCATCTATATGCGATTTAAGTTTGAATGGTAACTGAATAACGCCTCTTTCAACCCTTTTTATAATTTATTTTTAAGATATTGACTTTTTACGTATAAGTATCAAGTTTTATTAAAATCGGTTCAGTAGTTTCAAATATTTTGGACTTCAAAGTTTGAATGGGAACCCGCGCCGCGAAGAACGCTAAGATACCTAAGTATCTAAGATATTTAATTTACTGGGTTTAAGTTCAATTTATGGATGATCACCACACTAATTATTATTGTACAATTTAATATAAATCACCCACTTGACATCGAAAGTAATTTATCCTTAGGTTGCTGTCGTATTTGTAACTAAATTTGCCTGCTTCAAAAGACGATTCCTTTCACACAGATCATAGTGCCCCATACATTTTGCGAAGGTGTGCAACCGAATCAATTGTACCAGTTGATCAGAGACCGCTACCCGCTAGTTAACTTGGTGACAGTACAGCGGAGACACTTCAATGATGCTGCAGGCCGGCAGAACATACAAACTCTTTGCGCTCCACAGTACAGTGGGGTGTATCTACAAGTTGTACACAAGTATGTCTTACTTTATTTTGTTATCTGTGACGCGTTAATTAGTCTGAATCAACCATATTACCTATATGTATAGATTGGTTTCGGTACAATGACCTTTATGTTCACCAGGTTAAATTCATTATGTTACTTAATAGGTAGGTATGCGACTCAGGTGGTTGAAATTAAATCTACGAAAGGTGAGACAGATTTATTTTCTTGACTGAACTTCTGCTCATATTCGGATGAGTATATCATATCCACAACTCTAGCATGACTTCTACCTAAGACTTAAATGGCAGAAAGGATGGAATCTACTATACAATCTCTTTAAACTAGTCTTTCCCGAAATGGGCGATGAAAGCATAGGAGAAGAAGGGTAGGCGTTATGAAACCAAAAGATCGGGTGTTGTTGAGACAATTTGTGATTTCATACCATAACTTTTTAATTTTTTGGGAGAAGAACGACTTTTCTGGTCCTGGGTGAAAGGGAGTGTCGGACTCTGCTCCTGCTTTAGACCAGATTAGGTAGAAGTGGTAGAGAAAATAAATTTGGGAGCCTCTGCTCTAGACTTAGTCTAAAACTTAGACACAAGTATCTAAGTCAACGATCTCTTTCAGATTTTACGCTGTAACGGCTGCCGCGGCTGTGTTGAAGTATGTTGAATACATCCAATGCATTGTGTTCGCAAGAGAATCACTGAAAATTGAATATCACTCGTCGGAAAATACAATGATCATTGGTAAGGGAAATTAATAGCTTTCCCAATTCGCATAGTGTTAATTAAATTGATTTGTCTCAATCTTATTTGTGCAATAGGTATCGCTTATTACAAATTATGTTTTTCTTATACAAGTATTTTTATGGGTAACTACTTATAAATAATTAAGTGCCTATTTCCTGTTAGACCCTGAATACATACATACCTACTATGTATAGTTTGAAAATATCACGTATTTAATAAATGCGGGGGGTCGGAAATGACATTTCCACACACATTCTCCTTTACACACGAGGTTTATCTCGTTATCAGCGGCCTAAGAAGTCATCCGGGTCAGCCGTAGGAAATACATTGCGGAAACGTCATGATGACATCATCTTGTTGTTCGATGGTGCACTTGGGTAGCTTAGGTATTCTTTTACCAATAAAGATTGAAAAGCATGTAAACATTTTAGCATAAATTTAATTACGTTTTGTTAAAAACCTTATACATATTCACTGCCATAGCTTTACGAAATTGCAATAAGAACATTTTCCATTACGCATTTACTGGCTACACGTAATAGTCTTCGAAAATCAATAATATTTACTTGTCTTGTAGGACATAAATATAAAATACGTAAATCTATTTTTATTATCTAATCTCAAGTTACGTGTTAGATACACGTATAAAACAATTCAATTATTATCTTACTAGCTGCTCTCGAGAGGTTTTGCCCGCTTCTCGGCTCCTACAGATCCTAGCGAGATGTTTTATAGCTTATACGAGTAGCCTTACTCCATAAATAGATTAACAAGTGCAAAAAGTATTGTTCCATTCAAACCAGTAGTTCCGGGCGCGTTCAAACAAATTCTAGATACAGCTTTATAAAATAAAATATATACTAGCTACTGTCCCGCGAATTCATCCGCATCTCGGCTCCCATAGATCGTACCATGATGTGTTTTAGCCTATAGACTTCCTCTATAAATGGACTAATGAACACAAAAAGAATTTTACAATGCGAACCAGTAGTTTCAGAGATTAGAGCTTTCAAACAAACCAACTACAGTTTTATGATGTTACCTAGTTATCTTATAAACCTGAAATACTCACAAAGTTTTGTTATTTAGATGTGGGTACAGCAACTCAATTAGAACTGGTACAGCCTTTAGTACCGTCCGCTGGGCCGACGTGCTGTCTGCTGGGTGTACTCGGTCCTACCTACACTATTGGAGGCATTCGAGCACTGAGAGCCTCTATACTGCAGCCCTCCTGCAACAAAGACTACATTGAATCGAGGCTCGACGCCGTACAAGACCTCATTGAAAATGACACCGGACTTATTGTTGATTTGCAGGTAAGATTGATAAGCTATATTGTGCACGAAACAACTATCTGCAAATTGTTGTTTCGTGTCTGGGTCTGTAATGTGTATGTAAAATTATATGTTTGTAAACGCACCCATGACACAGGCGAAAATACTAGGGTGGGACAACGTTTAAAAAAATAATAGATAAGTAGCTATATTTTTTTTTTTTGGTTCTAACAGCCATATATGTTTTTTGGTTTAAAAAATATTTAGAAATTTATAAATAAAGGAAATAATTTAATGTACCTAATCCTTTATATTCAGGCGACAATGGCCAATAGATAAACGAACATATTATATACGTTATTAGGTTATTATAACTAAAACCTAAATAATGACAATTAACTAAGGTACACAGTGGCTCAGAGCAACTGATTGCTACGTAAGTTGTAACATTAAAATAATATTACAGGATGTAATAAAGAAACTAGCAGACGTAGATAAAATCCTCCTGCTATGCATGGAGACAGCTAATCAGAATATGGACAAAGTAGGAGAGGCTCAGTTGAACCAAACACTGTTGCTCAAAGTTACTATGGACTTGGTACCCAAGTTGGTGGAGGCACTGAACGGCGCTGCTAGTGGGAGGCTGAGGAAAATTAAAATGGTAGGTTAGGCATACCTATATAAGAACACGTAGTGACTATTAAATGAAGTTAGTAAAAGAAAATTAGATTATCCTTTTTATTTAGATTATCCTTTTTTGTTGTCCTGTATAGTGTACCTAATTATATTGAAATCCACAAAAACCATTGATATATTTTGAAGTTAAGCAAAACATGTGCAAAAGAACCCTCCTTTAGGTACTTGCGTCCTTTATAAAATGGGTCTTAACAATGGTCTTAACATTTTCCAAACTAGGACTTGGAGAATCCGCACTACAATGAAATAGCGGAACGTATAAAAAGGATAATTCAAGACGACGCTCACTTAGAAAAGGGCGCTATGGGCAGTCTTCAACGGTGTTTCGCGGTCAAACCGGACATCAATGGACTTCTGGATGTAGCCAGAAGAACTTATTCTGAGCTCATAGAAGATATACAGAAGATTGTGGAACAGCTCAGTGAGACATATGACCTAACTTTACGGTTGAACCAGAATATGATGAAAGGCTTCCACATCGTGCTGCCATTGGCCCCGAAGAGTAGGAGGTGTTTCAACATAGATGATCTGCCGCCTATATTTATACAGGTTAATTTGATAATTGTTTTTTATCGTAGTGTAATACTTTGACACTCAATGCAGGCACGTCAGCTAAATCCCCAAAAGGATCAAATAGAAAGGCACGGTATAATTAAGACCATACCGTTTGTTATGTAATCGTAATATTTCCTATGGACGGCAATCTATTGACTCTAGCCATATTTGAAAAATAATTTTGCAGCTATTAAAATCACGTTGAATCTCGTATTCACTCAAGCTCTTCCGGTTGATCCCTTATCCTTCATTAATACCTATAACATTTAGTGACTCTTTTCAGGTTAGTTTACCACAAGTACTGCCTACAACTATGACTAGTCAATTCATATTTTTCTTTAGGTTCATCACAGTGGTGCAAGTGTTACAATGACAACGGAGGAACTAGTGGTATTGAACCAACAAGCCAAAGAGTCTTTGAATGAAATACAAAAAATGAGCAACATGTTCGTATTTTTATTTAATTTTATTATTGCAACATCAATCTAAAGAAATCAGGTAATGTCCCTTGAAATACTTGGTACATCTCTAGTTTTAAGACGGTTTAGTGTAGGGACGGAAAATCGACTAAACACAGATATCGATTATAAAATAATTGTGATTATTCGACTTTGTTTTCAGAGTTATTTCCAGTTTACTGAAAGAGCTTCGTCCATTCATGCCAAGTTTGTACACGCTTTGCGAAAATGTCGCAGAGTTGGACGTTCTACTGGCTTTGGCTCAAGTATGGACTATTTGACTAAATATCTACCATCATTAAAATACTTATAATTTCTATTTACTCGACCTTTTGTTACCAGGCCAGTTCTGTTGGCTCATACATTCGACCTGAATTCAACAGTTACATGGACGTAAGAAATAGCGTGCATCCCCTTTTGGATTACAACAGTCAAGTCATGCCTGTGCCTAATGATATTGTTAGTATTTAAGTAACTGGTTATTTCTTCAACAATTTAGTTTAGCTATTATTAAATAAGTTTTTTGTTACAGTTTGCAACTCCTGAACACAATTTCACTATAATTACTGGACCAAACATGGGAGGCAAAAGTATATACATAAAACAAGTTGCTATTATGCAAGTTATGGCGCAGGTCTGTTGGCTTTAACAATGGCTGACGAAAAATTACAAGTAGTCTGAATTTATCCCCAATTTCTTTTTTTACAGATTGGTTGTTTCCTTCCTGCTACAAATGCCATCTTAAGACTTTCTGACAGAATTTTCTCAAGAATAGGTTTCAATGATAGCGTGGAATTGAATGCTTCGACTTATGTATTTGAGGTAAATTAACTAAACCATACAAATCTTAATGCTGATTTTAATTTTTATGTTAGTTATGACGATGAAGGAAAATAGTTGTGAATAACGAATTATTACAGATAAAAGAAACTCAACATATTCTAAAAGGATTGACACCTACTAGCTTAGTAATAATAGATGAGTTGTGCAGGTAATTTCTGACTCAAATTCCTTTATAATGTTTTTTATAGTTGTTTAGATTTATCATAATGGCTAATACACTTTCAGAGGCACTTGTGTGGAAGAAGGGACGAGTGTAGCATGGGCTATCTGTGAAGAACTGATTATAAGCAATGCCTTCACATTCTTCACGACACATTTTATGTATCTCACCAGACTGCAAGAACATTATTTTAATGTTGTCAAGTAAGTTAATCAAACATTGGCATTAGATGGCATGATTGCTTGAGTGGTGTACTGCGAACTCCAAATAACAATTTTAAAGAAACTTTTGCTTTTGTTTTCAGTCGACATACTGCAGTTACAGAAGAAGAAACAGGCAACCCAGAAAATCCACAAAGACGATTGGTTTACCAACATAAAATTGAACTTGGTGTCACTAAAATAGAACATTACGGACTTACTCTGGCTGCTAAAACTAATCTCCCAGAAGATACAGTTAAATTGGCTACGGAGTTAGCTGAAATAATCTCAAGCAACACAATTGTAAATAAGTCTAACTTAGAAAACATTTAGAGCACTGATATGTTGACAGTTAATAGATAACGCTAGAATTCCCTAAGAGCATATTCGTGGTTAAATTTTAATTAATTTGAATGTCATATTAAACGTCAATTAACGATATTTTTATACAAAATTAATGATAGGCACGTGCCGCCGTAATTACTGTATTTATTGACAATTCTGACGGTACAAAATCTGTTTCAGGCGCAAGAAATCAGGACTCCACAAAATAATGATGCTCAATGTCTTTATGGTCTCAATGCAACCATTCAACAAGAATTTAGGAAAAACGGCAATTCAGATGAGATTGTAAAGAAAATATTTCATAAATTCAAAGAAGACAATCCACAAATAATTAATAGAATAAATGCCCAGAACAGAAGAAGTGATAATAGAACTGATACAAGTGCTGAATGTTCTTACGTGCCATATTCTAAAGAAAAATCAACAATATCTAACAATCTAAGTGACAATGAAAGTATAATTAAAAATGTACCTACACCAATAGTTAGATCTCCTGCTGAACATTTGGAATTGGTTGACGACGTTGAACGCACGAATTATCCCTCAGTACAATCATCTGAACATTTGCTAAATAGCGTAATACATAATGATGCTTCTGCTGAAGCAGATAACCCAAATACATCAGACATAGAAATGGTTGGAAGCGATAATGATGAATTAGCCAATATAGAACATAATTTTGACAATGACCAAATACAAAATTCTATTAACAATAAAATTGATGGTCATGATACACCTCCCGGTAACATTATTGAAATGAATCGGGAAGATACAGCCATAGAAACTAGCTCTATAGATTCTGACATTGCAGAAGCTCTAACGCAAATAGTTGAAGAATATTCTTCTAAAAATGTGACTCGTTCTCAACAAAGCAGTGATATGTCTATTGACGAAGATTTACTAAGCGAAACGATAAACGAAATTAATGAAGAACTTTCAAATGGAGTTAATAGCGTAGAAAATATTATTCTTACACCACCAATGAGTTTTCGTGATATTATATAAAATAAGTACATAATAAAGAATGTGTTACATTTATTTGTTTTTTATTTATATTAGGTATGCCTTAAGATGCAATAATTGAACCTCGCTAAATTCAATCGATAGGTACATATACATATACATAGACATAATCGCAATTATATATAAACTTCTATTCTGCCGGTATATAAGACACAATAAAAAACAAATTTGTGTCCCGCATATAGAATGTTCGCGAGCAAGGAAGTTAAATTCACAGTAATAAAATAACAAAGTCAACGCATGCCAGTAAACGTTTAGTTCAATAAATAACTATCAAACACAGTAGACATGTAAAATTCAATTAATGGCGTACGCATACGCGCCTTTTAAGTCGTAAAAACGTTACATTCTAAAGTCTATTCCTCATTAACGGTTGGGCGTAAAGATTGAAAAAATATGTTTACTGTAGATTCATGTACTTACTACAATGTGAGTAAATTTGATTTTCTTATGACAAATAGTTAAGCTGTAAAAAAATATTTACCAACACGCTATTTTGTTCAAATAAATATCTATTCCATCTAAATGGCTTGGTTTATATAATTTTCTATTTTTGAATAGATCAATCGGTGTTAAATTTTACTACAAAGTGGGCAGCACTCATGTAAATCAGTCAATAGTTTACAAAGAACATATTATATTATTGGGATATCCATATTTAAAAAGCGGGCGAACCCAGCCCGCGCCAGTCGTGCGTTAGTATGCACAAGGTTATTAAGGGTACTATACACCTTAAGTACCTATACTTAGTATTGAGTAAAGGTTAATTCAACTTTGCCTATTCCTCCAGAAAATACAGTGGATAGGAAATAACAGCATTTTTGAATTTAAGTGTGCTTATAGAATGGAGTGCGCAGCATGGAATGAACCACGTCGTCTGCTAATATCAGATATAGGAGATGATCTGTCACTGCCTACTGTTTTTGAACAAATGGTCGGCAGAGTCATGAGATGCAGTGGTGTCCTTCTGTCAAGATGCGTTGTTGCAGAAGGAGGCTGCAGAAAGGGAAATCACAAAACCTTTTCCCACCTGCAGCAGACGCACTAGGTGTAGGAGAAGCTGCTCTCTTCCGACCCCCCTAGATGGGTACGGGGATGTAGGACTTGGGGGAGACTCCATCGCGACGTCCCGTTAAAGAGGATCCGAGACGGTGGCGCGCGCCTCGAGGCGAGTCACGGGGGCGATTCACACATTCCCTTCCATGTGCATCTTGAGGTAGGGCGTATGGAGATAGGCCGTCACGAGTGGAGCTGCGGATGAATTTTTATTCCCGCGCCGTCACGCCCACTTTACAGACGGGACACCAAGGTTGTTTTAGTCAGTAAAAGTCTGACAATCCTCCATGAGGATTTTCCACCTTGGGGCAAAAAAAAGTGTTGTTATAGAAGATTTAGACCTTTTGGGTAGAAACCTCTCCATAGTGTGCGTAACACTACAGGTTTCTACCTCACTAAATCTAGCCCAGTGGCCACCTTGAGCTCTCGTAAAGAATACCGGGTCCTCTTAAAGACCTGAAGAGGATGGACTTCTCCGTACATAATTATATTAAAGTTTATTGATGGACCCAATATGCTCTGAGGAAAGCCTCCCGCCCGGCCCTGGGCGGGAGAAGTCATTTGATGATTTTCCTCACAAAAAAAACCGCCATCTAAATATTTAAAAGAATCAATTAAAAATCTTTGTTAATCTCTGACTTGTTTATAGAAATCTGTGGTTGTTGATGTTATTGTTTTAGTAAATATTTATATTAATTTAAAGGCACCAGGGGGGTTGTTGGTAGAAACATCAACATCTCGATCATCGTCTTCACGGTCCATCGCAGGGCGTCGATCCGTCTCATATGACAGTCACAGCGCTCGCTCTCCACCTTATTGCGCGCACGCAGAACTGTCAGTTTGATGTTCCGCCTGTACCCTCGTCCGATGAATTGTGATCAAACCTCCTTCAAAATTCAATTTACAAAAAGTATAAAGTAGGTAGGTTAAAATAATATTAAATACTGGCAAATCCTTTGTGAAAATTGCTTTTGATGCATGCAAAATATTTTTTTTAATGAAACTATAAAGAACCTGCCAGTATTATACCTAAACATTTAGTCGATATTAGAAGGTAAAAATCGACTAAATAGTATTCGATGACATGTGTCTACTCTATGAATGTAAAAAAAACGTAAATTGCAAATGGCTTCGAAAGTCGCTGTGATTTTAGTTTTTCGTTAGTGAATTTTATGCTACAATATTGTTTTTCTAGTGTAAAGTGAATGTTATACAAAATTTGGCGCTGAAATAGAAAAAGTAAGTGAATAACTAAACTCTACACATGTTTATTTTTATTCAACCGGCGTCTGTTTACCACGCTGTCTCATAGCTTGTATCGAATATATTTGTGATATTTCTTGTGAATTGTGTAACGGTAATCGGTGAATTGATGATTGTTTGTGTAGGAGGCGGTCAGCCATGTCGCTGCCGCCGTACCTGCTGGGGCCCAACCCCTGGGCCACAATGATGGCGCAGCAGCAGTTGGCGGCAGCTCAACAGGCCGCTCTGCAGGCCCACGCCGCCGCCGCTGCAGCTGCGCCACCGGTGCCCCCGGCTCAGCCCCCCAAACCACATCATATACCAGAAGAGAAGATCAAGGAGAAAGGTTTGTACCATTAAACAAACATCTTAATTTTTGTAGGTTATTTCTGTGATGTCGATACTTTGAGGACTCTTTCAATTTTAATAATTCGAATGATAAGGTTTCTAGTGTAATTTTGGGTAATATTACCATACACCAACTTCATTAAAGAATCTCAAACGATTAGCATGAGGAAGCTACTAAATTTTTTCTTGAGCTGTGTTCCTGACCAAGCCAATCAATAGCCAAAATATTTAAAGGTAATAGGTAATACAAACACAATCTATAGTGAGTAATAACCAGGGTAAATCAATATTATGCTTGTTGGCACTTAAATATTTAATGGAGGAGATTGTTTCTTTACTTCCCATAGTTCTAGTATGTATTCCATATGCCGTATTTCTAGTATTCACATCTATTATAAGTATTTACTAAAATAGTGTAGTACTGTACAGTATTTACTTTCGTTCCATACCACTAATTTAGAAGTAGTATGATTATGTTGATAACTGCTGTGGTCAAGCAAGGAGGAGCGATACTACCCAATGTTATCTGTGTCATCCTAGAACAAACTTTCTCTTGTCATGCCTCATAAAATCTACCAATATAGTCCTTATTATTAAAGCATTTATCTTTTAACTCCAATTCTGATTAGACTTAATGCATTTTAAACCCAACAACATTAAATTTCTGAAGAAGGGCTTCATTTACGAGTATATGAAGATCTCCATATTGTGTGTAGCACAATGCTGCTCATGAATTTGAGCCCCTTGTTTGCTAGCTTGGCTTGAAACTTGTTTGAATTTCTCAACAGTTAAGTCAGTAACCCATTTGCAAATAACAATTAATTAAATGTCTCATGAAAGCCATAACACAAAGAAAGTTGTTAAACCGCAAGAATATACTACAAAATACACACAATGGTTTAATTAAAGAATATTTTATTGTAATAGTGCAATTTTATTACTGTTCAATAAGTTGCACATTGTATCAGTTCGGCTTTTTTGCCATCAAAAGGAATATGAGTTTAATTATCCCCATGTTTTTCAAGTTTTGCTTATTAAGATTTAAAGTAAAATATTTCCTGTGGGGCAAATTGAAAATTGCAATATTGATATTGTTCTCCATTTTAAGAATAGTGGAGAATGCTTTTATTGCAAACATTTGTTTTTGTATTTCATAATATTACACAAAAACTTAATTATGATTAGTGAAGCATTATTTGGAAATTGAGATATATTGTTGCAATTTTCATATTCTTAGGAATTCTGTTCCTTACTTTAATTATTATTATATGCCTCTCTAAGTTCAATATGAACCCCCTGCGCTTGTTATTTATATCTTATATTATTTTCTTTCCTCTTAGCCCAAAAATGGATGCAACTCCAATCAAAGCGTTTTGCCGAGAAACGAAAGTTCGGTTTCGTAGACGCGCAGAAAGAGGATATGCCTCCAGAGCATATTCGTAAGATCATCAGGGACCATGGTGACATGACTAGTCGTAAATACAGGCACGACAAGAGAGTGTATCTAGGTGCTTTGAAGTATATGCCTCATGCTGTCATGAAGCTGCTGGAAAACATGCCTATGCCCTGGGAACAAATTCGTGATGTAAAAGTCTTGTACCATATCACTGGAGCCATCACCTTTGTCAACGAGATCCCCTGGGTCATAGAACCAGTCTACATCGCACAGTGGGGTACCATGTGGATCATGATGCGTCGAGAAAAGAGAGACCGTAGACACTTCAAACGAATGAGGTTCCCGCCGTTCGACGATGAAGAACCTCCTCTAGATTACGCTGACAACATCTTGGATGTAGAACCTTTGGAGCCAATCCAGATCGAGCTGGATCCTGAGGAAGATGGAGCCGTAGCTTCATGGTTCTATGACCACAAACCTTTGTTAGGTACAAAACACGTGAATGGGTCAACATATAGAAAGTGGAACCTGACTTTGCCTCAAATGGCGACTTTGTACCGTCTCGGCAACCAGTTATTGACTGATTTAGTAGACGACAACTACTTCTATCTCTTCGATTCGAAAAGTTTCTTCACTGCAAAGGCTCTCAACATGGCCATTCCTGGAGGGCCGAAGTTCGAGCCGCTGGTGAAAGATAACTCTGCAGGTGATGAAGACTGGAATGAGTTCAATGATATCAACAAAATCATTATCCGTCAGCCAATCAGGACTGAGTACAGAATCGCATTCCCGTATCTTTACAATAATTTGCCGCATTTCGTACAACTTTCTTGGTAAGTTTTGACTAAACGCGATGAACTACTTTAAATACTTTAATGTGTAGCAAGTGAAATAAAAAGCCTTTTCCTTGTAGGTACCACACGCCAAACGTAGTATACATCAAGACGGAAGATCCTGACCTTCCCGCCTTCTACTTCGATCCC